TGCCCTTGCTGTGAGTGCTTTGTGTGCTTGTGTGTATGCTAGCTGTGTGTGTGTGTGTGTGTGTGTGTGTGGATTGTATCTCTAGGGAAGTCAGAGGTGGGACTCTGCTGTCTCTTCCCCAAAGAGGACTTGCTGGTTTTCAGGCTGCCCTCTTGTGTCACCTCTGTCCAGTTGTGGTCATAACTCAGCAGGAAAATGTGTCATACCAAATTTACTTTCTGTAGGGTTGGGATGGGGTTGTCATCACATAATTTATGTATGTAAGAGTATTAGAAGATGTTACTATTAGTCCACCTAAAGCTTATAGATGCTTACCTCGTTTGGGTTTCATTGAGCTTCTTGGACCTGTGAGTTCATATTTTTCATCAAATTTGGCAGAGTTTCAGCCACTCTTCATATTTCTTGTCTGACCCCCTCTCTCTCTCACTCCTCCCTCCCTGCCCCTGTCTGGGGGCAGCTTTCTGTTAGACTGTGATACTGTCTCACGGGTCACTAAACTCAATGCTTTTTCATCCTTGTTCTCTCATCCTTTCCTTGACGGTTTTATTGTCCTGTTGAGAGGCTTACTAATCTTTTCTTCCACTTGCCTAATTTGATGTTAAGCTTGTATAGTGAATTTTTTATATCAGAAATTAGATGTATTTTTAGTTCTAAAGTTACATTTGAGGCCGGGCAGGGAGGCTCACACCTGTAATCCGAGCACTTTGGGAGGCTGAGGCAGGAGGATCACTTGAGGGAGGGGGTTCGAGGCCAGTGTGGCCAACCTGGCAAAACTCCATCTCTGCTAAAAATGAAAACTAGCCAGGCGTGGTGGTGCGCACCTGTAGTCCCCAGATTCTTGGGGGGCTGAGGCAGGAGAATCGTTTGAACCCGGGAGGCGGAGGTTGCAGTAAGCCGAGATTGCACCACTGCACTCCAGCCTAGATGACAGAGCAAGACTCCGTCTCAAAAAAAAAATCCATTTGATTCTTTTTATTAGTTTTATATCCCATTATTCTCATGTTTCCATTAACTCCTTAACCTTGTTTTTAACAGGTTTACTAGACATTCCCAGCTGTTCCAAAGTAGTTGTACCAGCAGGCCCGACTACTAGTTGTGTATGACCACGGCTGCCGGTCCATGTTTTCAGCACCCATTGCCTGAAGTATTAGCCCCTTCACTCTGGAGGGTGTGGGGTAGACCTCCTTCTGGTTTCATTGGCTTCTCTCTGTTCAGCACCTCTTCACAGGATTTCCTGTTTGTAAAGTACCTATTCAAGGATTTTCCCTACTTTTCTATTGGATGGTCTGTCTCATTTATTTGCAGGTGTTATTTATGATTCTGGGTAGTAGTGCTTTGTGAGTTACATTTGCAAACAGCTTTTCTTGTCTTTTTACTTTAATGGTGTCTTTTAAGATAAATTGTAAACTTTAATGTGGCCCAATATATCAATATTTTGTTTCATGATTAAAGCATTTTGGATACTAATTTTTAATAATCTTTACTCTGCCTTAATCATAAAGATACTCTGTTATCTTCCAAAAGATTTTATAGTTTTGTATATTTTGGATTTTAGATACAGATTCTACCCAGAATTGATTTTTGTGCCTGTTTTGAAGGTTAAGGATCCAGTTTCATTGTGTTGCAGACATAAGGCCAGTTTTCCCAGCCGTGGCCGCTGAAGATTCCTTTGTCAGGATGATTCCTGTGTCTGTTTCTGCATCTCCTTGTCTGTCTCTGCCGATACCACACACTCTCGGGTGCATACTTCCATCTTATGTTAGGATGTCTTGGCTGTTTTTGACCCTTTACATTTCATACATTTTAGAACGAGCTGGTTGAGTTGGGATTTTGTTTGGGATTGTATTGAGCCTGTAGATCAACTTGGAATCACTGACATACTTGCAATACTGGGTTTTACAAACCCTGAATACGGTATCTGTCTCTCCAGATGATAGCTCTCCTTCAGCGGGTGTTAATACAGCCTGATACTTTTCACAGTGGTCTCGTATGTCTTTTGTTACATTTAATCCTAGGTCCTTGTTATTTTGTGATGCTGTTTTTAAAAATGTGCTTGGATTTCATTTCCTTTATGTGTTGCCATTTCATGGAAATTCAATTTTTGTGTATTAATTTGTATCTAGCAATCTAGTAATTTTAATCATTTGCCTGTAGCTGTTTTCTCATTTTTAGGCACACAGTCATGTTTTCTATGAGTAATGGGGTTTCTTTCCCATTCCTGTTACTCTGGATTTTTACTTTATGTTTTTATTTTTGTTTTGTTTTTTGCTTCTCTACACTGGTCGGAACCCCTAGTGCAATGCTGATTAGAGGTGGTAACAGAGTGGGCATCGTTGTCTTCTTCCTGATATTCAAAGGGGTGATAAATTCTCACCATTTATCCACTTGTAATAGATTTTTTTTGTTTTAAAGCTGCTTCTGTCAATAATTCGCATCAAGAATGGATGAATTTTATCATTTTTTCTGCAACGATTGAGATGACCACATGATTTTTATCATTTAATGTATTGATGTGGTTAATGACCATAATTTGCTGTTGTTAAAAATAAACCTTGAATTTCTGAGATAAATCCAACTTAATAATTATGGATTTTCTTTTACATACATATTGTTGTATTTGGTTTGTTAATATTTTGTTTAGCATTTTGTGGCCCAGCTATACCACCTACCACCTGTGTTCGGGCCCTGAATTCCTCGTCTATAAAATGGGGAAATAGTGCCTTCCTCACAGGGTTGTTGTGAAGGTAAAATGAGTTAGTATGAATAGAACTCTCAGGCAGCATCTGGTGCATCCTGAGCACTGGGTAGCTGCGTGCTCTAATACACTGGTTAGTATCTCTCTTCACGGGTGATGGCCACTTACGATTTTCCTTTGTAATGCTGTTCTTGTCAGGATTCGTGTCTTTACACCACCGTAAAATGAGCTACATTGTGCATTCTTTCTACGTTCTCTAGGAGAATTTATTTAATATTATAATTATTTCTTCCATGGATGTTTAATGGAATTTGCTGGTGAAGTCACTTGTGCCTGGACCTTTCTTTGTCAGGAGGTTTGACTACCGATCCCGTATAACTCAGTGTTCCAGGATGTGGCAGAGCTGTTCACACAGACCATCCTTATGTCCCCCTTGCCTTTACGCTGCATATCCGTGAGTTGGGTTGGGCCGTGTGACTACTGAGCAACAGCCTGTGCGTGGGACTGAGGTGAGTCATTTCAAGGCCAGAGCATGGGAGCTGGTGCGTCGCGTTGATAGCTTCCCTGCCAGTGACCTGGGCAGCCGCATCACAGGATTAGGAAGCCAGTTTGTCTTCTGTTGGAAGAGATCTCTTGTTATTTCTGAAGTTGGACGTCGTGTGAGTAATAAATTTTGTGTGTCCAGCCACTGAGGTGTCGGGTTTTCTACTGTTGCTGGCAGTGACTTCCCCTAAGTCGCAAGGCTGAGCAGGCTTTCCATTTCTTTTGGAGTTAGTTTTTATATGTTATGTGTCTGTAAGAATTGGTCCATATTGTCTTAATTTTCCATTTTGGGGGATATAACACATAATTTGAATGACTTCAGCATTTGAAGTTGTGTGTGTCCCTGTGGCAGAGACGTAGGGACAGTTGTGTCCCTTCAAGCAAGACCTTGCTATCCAGGGGCAAGGAGCGTAGGGGCAGAGACCATCTCTAGCCGCCATGCTGTCCGGCTGTGCCAGGGCTCTGGAGCTGAGGACACACTCATCCAGGCAGCCGCAGCCGGTGTCCAAGCAGGCAGGGCCTGGACCTAATGCGAACCACAGGGAGCTTCCTAGCAGGCCATCTCCAGAGCCTCCCTGAGGCCTCCTGGCCACGCTGCCTCCTCCCCTTGCGCTGTTCAGGGGCATTTCTCATCAGTGAGCCTCTTGTGATACAAAGGCCACCTCAGCATCTGCCTCCCGGGGACCCAGCCCATTCTTGGCCATTCTTCATATTCGTTGTTTGAACTTTCTCTTCAGTCCTTTCAAAAAAACACCCTTTGCCTCCATTTTCTTTTCAATTTCTGATCTGATCTATCGTTAGCCATGCTGAAATAACAAATAAATATGGGTTAAAATATTATTTTATCGATTTCCCTGTTCTGTTTCTTTCTCTTGTTTTATCAGTAAATCTGATTGATCCGCCATCTAATTAGTTTTAATCTGCCATCTTATTTTGTGCTGTTTGTTCTGTTCCATGATTTTTTCCCTCTCTACTTTTGCCACTTTTAGATGATCTGTCATCCCACATGTCCCTCTGCTCATTTGGAGACTGTGTACTCGCTTCTGTTCTGTTCTTACAGCATGTGTGCGTTTAGTCCGTCTTCTGACCCACCCCTGGGGTTCCTTGAGCGCAAGACGCGTGTCCCTCCCCGTGCTCCTGTTCTGCTCACCTGTGGGGGTTCCCAAGTATTTTTATGGAACATTTTAACCTCACAAAGTATTGATATAGTCACGTTAATTTGGAGTTATTGACCTATTTATTCTCTCTGCTCCACTTTCTTCACAAACCAGACATGCCATTTGAGATCACCTTTGCTTTCTGCATTTAGAATTTCTCTTAACGTCTGCTGCTGGCAAATTCTCTTTTCATTGTCTAAAAATGCCTTTATTGTATCCTCATTTTGGAAAACTGTTTCACTGGGCTAGTATCTCAGGTTGGCAGCCTGTGATGACGTCGCCCTGTTTTAGGGGCTACGGTGGTGTTCACAGTGTTCATGTCTCATGTCCATTCCCTTTGAATTAGACCCCACCCAAGGCTGCACCAGTGCTAGACCAGGACTCACAACTGACAGATGGCTGGTCCGCCTGCTCCTCCTTCACAGTCCTCCTGTCTAGATGAGGAAGCGAGAGGCTCCGTTAGGCAAAGGGGACACAAGGCTCTCAGCCCTGTGAGCTTCAGCCCAGTGGAGGCACTCAGCACACTCCCTACCTAGGGCCCCTCCAGTACCCATCCCCTGTTACCATCTGTTACAGATATGTGTGCTCTGAGGAACAGAGAAATCCACGTTTTAAAACACCTTTATTTGTCACTTTACCAACTGGACACACAATGTTAATGACAGCAGACACACAGGGGCATGTGCACACAGACATGAGCTGTTTCACTACAGGTTTGCAAGCCAGGCTCAACAGCAAGTCCAACAGGCGACACCACGCCTCTCACCTGCAGAAGGGACAGCACAGCCACCCCACCCCACAGACGTTCCCAGTGAGTGCGGTTTAGACGTTGGCGGAAGTGCCTTTCAGAGTCAGAACAGCCATGACATGGACATCACCTGTCACACTGATAAAGTGATACGCTCAGTACTCCCTTATGTTAATCACACAGTGTAAAAATATATTGCACATATATATATATAAATTTGTTTCCCTTTCTTGAAAAAAACTTAGTACAAACTAGTAGTTACACGATCCCTTTCAAGTTTCTCTTAAGTTGTGCAGATTTCCTTTGTGGTTTGGCTTAGTTTAGTTTTTTAAGAGGTCAAAAGAAAGAAGTCAAGCATCTCGCTGTGCCCATTATTCCCCATCACAGGCCAGGGGACAAATGCCACACCCTGGACCACCAGAGCTCACAAAGTGTTCAGTAGTAAGAGGAGGAAAGATGCAGGTTCAGTGTTTGAAGGATGTTCTGGCCTATTGATAACATCACCGTCCAGCCTCATCGTCCCCCTGTGCCATCCCCTCATGGTGTGTGGTGTGGGGTGGGAGGGTGGCCAGTGCACACGTGATTGCCCACAGGAGGAGATTGAGCTGGGCCAGGAGGGACAGATAAGTGTCCAGGGCCAAGGCGTCTCCATCTCAACTCCTCCCCACTCCAGTTGTACAGCAGAAGGAGCCACAGGCATGTGTGAACACACAGGACAGGCCCTGTGCCAACAAAACACCATTCACAAAAGCAGGCAGCCACAGCAGCCCAGGGCGGGGGCCGGGGTAGGAGGTGATGCCCACGCAGGGCTGCTGTGGTTGGCCCTGAGCTGGCACCCCTGGGGTCTGGGATGGAGCGGCACCGACAGGCAAGTGGGGCGGCCACAGGACATGATGCCAGCCCAACTCCACCATCTGTGCCCAAACTTGGGACAGGATATTAGAAGGTGTAAAAATAGTCCAGTATAAACATATATCTTCTGCTACAATATTTTAAACATATAATTTGAACTTTAATTTTGGTAAAGCTAACTGTTATGAACACTACCTGGTTGCTTATCCTATAGCAGTAAATAAAAATGAGTAAGTACTCTGGTGTGAACAGTCTTCTCAATGCGCTCCCTCTGCCTTTCTCCTTTCCTGATGCTGACACACGATCAGCGCTGTCCTCCCAACAGAACCTGTCCCTCTCTCCTGGTGTCACCCCCGACAGAACCTGTCCCTCTCTCCTGGTGTCACCCCCGACAGAACCTGTCCCTCTCTCCTGGTGTCACCCCGCTAACTGTTATGAACACTACCTGGTTGCTTATCCTATAGCAGTAAATAAAAATGAGTAAGTACTCTGGTGTGAACAGTCTTCTCAATGCGCTCCCTCTGCCTTTCTCCTTTCCTGATGCTGACACACGATCAGCTGTCACCCCCAACAGAACCTGTCCCTCTCTTCTGGTGTCACCCCCGACAGAACCTGTCCCTCTCTCCTGGTGTCACCCCCGACAGAACCTGTCCCTATCTCCTCTTGTCACCCCCGACAGAACCTGTTCTCTCTCCTGGTGTCATCCCCGACAGAACCTGTCCCTCCTGATGTCACCCCTGACAGAACCTGTCCCTCTCCTGGTATCGCTCACCAACAGAACCTGTCCCTGTGTCCTGGTGTCACCCCCATCAGAACCTGTCCCTTTCTCATGTCACCCATCGACAGAAATCTGTCCCTCTCTCCTGGTGTCACCCCTGACAGAACCTGTCCCTGTGTCCTGGTGTCACCCCCAACAGAACCTGTCCCTCTCTTCTGGTATCACCCCCGACAGAACCTGTCCCTATCTCCTTGTGTCACCCACCGACAGAACCTGTCCCTCTCTTCTGGTATCACCCCCGACAGAACCTGTCCCTATCTCCTTGTGTCACCCACCGACAGAACCTGTCCCTTTCTCCTGGTATCACTCACCGACAGAACCTGTCCCTTTCTCCTTGTGTCACCCACCGACAGAACCTGTCCCTCTCTCCTGGTATCACCCCTGACAGAACCTGTCCCTGTGTCCTGGTGTCACCCGACAGAACCTGTCCCAGTGTCCTGGTGTCACCCCCAACAGAACCTGTACCTCTCTCCTGGTGTCACCCCCGACAGAACCTGTCCCAATCTCCTCGTGTCACCCCCAACAGAACCTGTCCCTATCTCCTTGTGTCACCCCCGACAGAACCTGTCCCTCTCTCCTGGTGTCACCCCTGACAGAAACTGTCCCTTTCCTGGTGTCACCAACAGAACCTGTCCCTCCTGGTCACCCCCGACAGAACCTGTCCCTCTCTCCTGGTGTCACCCCCGACAGAACCTGTCCCTCTCCTGGTTTGCAGGCTGTGCAGTTTCTGTTATTCACAAATACACATTTATTTTCTGTTGAACCATGGTTAGTAGAAGCTAATTGGCAGTGCATAAAAACATGCAGAAGAGAACACACACCTGCCTGAATTCACAATATTCAGAAACTGACTGAGGAAGATGCACGGGTCTGTTACGTGCAGTGGGGCTGCTGTCCAAACAATGTTCTGTGTTTGGAGGCGGCACACAGATGCAATCACAGATTCCACAGACAAACTGACAATGGTGACCACTATGCCCTCGTGACTTAATTTTTGCTACCCCTCCTGGCTAGGTGACAGAAACGGGAGCAGAGTGGGTGTTTTCAAAGATTCGCTTTGGAGCCGAGTGGAGAAGGGTGCTCTCCTGGCTCCCGCATGTCTGAGGAAAGCCTGGGGGCCGTTGAGGGAGGGCGGGACACTGGGGAGGCCGTGCCTCGGACTCGTGGGCACCAACCCTGGAAGTGTGGAGGGAGAGCGGGGGTGTGGGGCCTCTCCCTCCAGGAGCCCACGGTGCTCCAGGCTAGGACGGGCTGGGTGCCACAGCAGCCTCGATCTCATTCACGAAACCCACAGGGGCGTCCTAGGGTTCGGAATGCACGCCACGGCTTCCCTCAGAGTGAAGGGTCCGCTTCTGCGAAGGAGCTCACCTCCAGGGGCCACGATGGGAGCCATGAGCCCCGCCGCTCCGGTCACTCCAGCCAGGTCTGGGAAGGGCTGTGGTGAGTCGGTGCTGGCCACGTGGACGAAGTGCCCCGTCGGTGACAGGGCCTGTTCCCTGCGGGGTCGGGTGGTGCCCGGGCCGGGTGGAGACGCTTCTCGTGCTCAGGGCCGGTTTCTGGTGTGCTCCCGATGCGCTTGGTTCTTGAGGCCATTCTTGTCTGAGGCCAACCAGTGACCAGGAGTCGGGGTCCTGGTGCCTCTCTCCTCAGTGTCCCTCGTCCCCACAGACCGCAGCAAGGCCTGGCGAGCCTCTGTGCCTGGCCGCACATGTGGGGACCCGCGGACCCCAACCCGCCTGTCCCTCCATCCTGACCCGGCGCCAGGCTCAGCTCCAGGGCAAGGTCCTCTGGAGTCACGTTCGTTCTGTGTGACTTGGTTGTGACTGTGGGGACCGGGCTGCCCATGGACAGAAGAAGGAGAAACGCAGCCTCGGACCAGGAGACGCGGCCCAGGGTGGAGCCGCGCTGGGGCCAGGGAGGCCGAGGAGGGCAGCAGTCCGAGGGTGTAAGGGTGCCAGGGTCCTTCGGGTTTCAGGCTTCAGGACCTGGGGAGCCGCCCTGTTCGGTGACCGCTCGTCCTCGGCCTCTTCAACACAAGGGCTTTGGAATTGTGATGGGCTGTCGGCCAATCCCGGCGACTCGCTCGTCTGTGATCGGGCGATTCCGGCAACTCGCTCGTCTGTGGTCGGCCGATCCCGGTGACTGCTCGTCTGTGATCAGGTGATTCCGGTGACTGCTCGTCTGTGATCGGCCGATCCCGGTGACCCACTCGTCTGTGATCGGGCGATTCCAGTGACTCGCTCGTCTGTGATCAGGTGATTCCGGTGACTGCTTGTCTGTGATCGGCCGATTCCGGTGACCCGCTCGTCTGTGATTGGTGAGTCTGGTGACCGCTCGTCCTCGACCTCTTCAACACAAGGGCTTTGGAGTTGTGATGGGCTGTGATCAGGCAATTCCGGTGACCGCTCGTCTGTAATCGGACGATTCCACACTGCACATTCAGAGTTGTTTTCAAATGTTTCCATACGTTAGTTCTGCCTTTCACACGTGGTCCAGCCAGGTTCAGTGGGGGCACAGGGCTGGGCTTGTGCACCCCCCGCCTTCCCCAGGCCGGTGAGGTGACATCCTAAAGGAGCCACAAAGCCTGAGGTTCATTTTTCCTTGGTCTTTATTGCCAGACACCATGAACTTCCCAGCCCTGCCATGAGAAGCTGCCTGCCAGGTCCTCCCCATCCTCAGGTTGGGGTCTACCTGGGGATGAGCCTGCGGCAGTCTGTTGAGGGGCCTCGGAGACCCCCAACTTTCAGCGGACCATGCTGTCTGGGAGCTCCAGCCCTGCGGCTCCTGCTCTGCTCAGGTAGGGGGAGTCCTTCCACAGGGCTGTGGCCGCAGCAGGTACACCCTTGGGAGTCAGGGGAGGCGGGTGGCGCTCATGCGTGCCAGTGAGGGAGGGGCCTCACCATCCTGTGCTGTGAGCCTGGCCCTGGGCAGCCCCCTGCCCTGGCCAGAGCCTCACCGTAGCCACGAGCTAACAGGCTCTGGAAGCATTTCCCCAAGACTGCCGCAGGCTCATCCTCAGGTAGACTCCAGAACCACAACCCAGCAGGTCACACGCGTGGCTGTGGCTGTTTGCGTGCCAAGGGACAGTGGCAGTGTGCCATTGTGACAGTGGGTAGCCACACCCTTCAGCCTCCCCAGGAGGGAGCAGGAGTGCCAGCTTCTCCCCAGGTGCAGATAGGCAAGACCAGGCCGCCTGGGTGTGTCCTGGCAGTGTGGAGGGTCCTGGATGGGCTCTGCTTGGCCGTCTGCTGGCAGAGAAAGCCCCACAGACACTGCAGGCTTGGGGGTCCTCCCTGGTGTCCTGCTCTCCAGGGGGAGGGGCCGGGAGAGGTGAGGCCGAGTCATTTCGGGAGAGTTGAAGAAGGCGCTTGGGCTGTGGCAATGGGAGGTCTGCAAGCAAGCAGGGTGCAGCTAGTGAGGATGGGCAAGCAGGAGGGCCGGGCAGAGGCCCTGTCACGCAGTGAGGCGAGGAGTGTCTCAGCACTTCGTGTCTCTTGCCTGGCAACACCACGGGGACCAGACATTCCGAATCTTCCTAGACCTGCTCTGAGAACACAGGCAGCCACCGCGTCTACTCAGGAAAGCAAAGGGAGCTGACTCCACCCTCACAGTCCGGGCCACTGTGGTCAGCCGGGAAGCCGCCCACTGCCCCCCCATAGCTTTCCTTTTTCCGACGTTGCCCTTGGCACACAGCTGGCCTGTAGGCATGTGTGCACACTTGTGTCCATGTGACCGGCTTCCCCACACATGTGCCAGGTGCCCAGCACCCCCGCCAGGTGGCCTCACTCTGCCCTCTGCCCAGGAAAGCGGGAAGGCCCTGTGGTGTCCACTGCATGCAGTACAGGTCTCGGGCCCCACAGACACCTCCCATGTCTGGTGTGGGGCCAACTCCGTGTTAGTTGCCTGCTGGTTGGGATTAGCTCCTGCCACCCTCAGAGCTCCTGGAAGGTGTCTGCCAGTCAGGAGGTCAGCACAGCCTCCTGTTGCCATGACAGCCAGCTCCTTTAAAACACCCCTTTGACCTGCAAACCACGTGCCCGATGTGGTGTGATCCGGGAGACACTTTGGAAACGGTTGAGGACGCAGGTGTAAAAGGAGGGTCAGTGAACTGGGGCCCAAACCTGGTTCGAGAGGGGAGTGCTGGGGGCATCTGGCAGGAGGAGGGGCAGGAGGGAGGCCTGGGCCTGGCCTCCCCCCAGCCCCCTCTGGGGCACCCATCTGAGTTCTGCCCGAGTGAGCACAGGAATGTAATGAAGTGCGAGGTGACAGAGTCCCTGCTCCGGGGACACCGGCAGTGCCGCGGGGCATGGAGCGGGGGCTACTTGCCCCCTTGCACCTTCTGGTCATAGGTGCCCGCGTGCTTGTAGCCAGACACATAGCCTGACTCGTCCACCAGGTCCACGCGGCCAGCCTTGCCCTTGCCCTTGCCAGAGGGGTCGAAGCGCTCCTTGTGGGAGCCCGTGAACTTGGTGGTGTCTGTGAGCCTCGACACTGTGGGCGACGAGATGGCTTTCTGCAAGAGGAGCGGGAGGAAGGGGACAGGTAAGTTGCCAGCAGGTGAAGTGGCTGTGCCCTGGGCAGGTCTCCCAGCGGTGGGGCGGTGGGCAAGGGGCAAAAACCCTGGGATTTATGCCCCTTTTAATTTTAATTCTTATTTTTACCTCTTGTGGCCCCGGGGCAGGCTTGGGCCTGCAGGGTGCCACGACCCTAACAATTGCCCCGGTCCACCTGGTGTTTATGCAGCTGGGGACCCCACCACCTGCACCCTCAGAGAGAAGGGGCTGTCAGGACAGCCAGGCCCCACCCTCCAGGCTATGGCCCCCCAACCCATGCCCCTTTTGACCAAGCCTCCCCAGACCCTACCCCGGGCCACGCCCTCCCGACCACGCCTCCCAGGACCCACCCCACTCCCCCAGGCCAAGCCCCCAATCCATGCCCCTTCTGACCACACCTCCCCAGACCCCACACCAGGCCATGCCCTCCTGACCACGCCTCCCAGAACCCAACCCAGGCCAAGCCCCCATCCATACCCCTCCTGACCACGCCTCCCCAGGCCCCACCCTCCAGGCCACGCCCCAATCCATGTCCCTCCTGACCACACCTCCCCAGGCACCACCCACCTGCCAGGCCCCAATCCATGTCCCTCCTGACCACACCTCCCCAGGCACCACCCACCTGCCAGGCCCCACCCTCAGCCCCCCTCCAGGCCCCGCCTTCCATCCCCGCCCTACTCACCGTCACCCCTGAGATAATGGGCGCCTTGCCCTCAATGAGCCTGTGCACCTCGCGAACCGCCTCCTCGCTGCTCTTGTCTTTGAATCGCTTCTTGGCGAGCTCCTCCAGTGCCTCCTGGAACTGCTCAAAGGTGATGGTCCGGCAAGACTTCCCTCTGCAGGGGCACAGGCAACTTAGGGCTGCGCGCAGGCCGGCCCAGGGCTGCCCGCGCCGGCGTGGGTCCGAGCAGAGCTGGGTGGCCATTGCCCAGCAACTCACAGGCTTCACCCGCAGGCGGCCGCCCTGGTAGCACTGCAAATCCAAACTGTCTTGGAAGAAAGCTTGGCGGAAGCAGGTCCTCTATAAAGCTGGATGCTCACACGGCCCTGCAGGCCGCTCTGACACTGGGTGCCTGTGGGTCTGCACTCTGCTGGGGCGGTGGGGGAGGCCATTAGGGAGCAGAGCCCACCTCCTCTTCCGGGGGCCACTACAGCCCCGCCCAGCTGCGCCAGGAGTTGGAGGTCCTAGGACCTGCTGGGGCCCCCCTCTGCCTGTGTGTGTTGGGGTCCCAGGTGGAGGTGTCCCCCACACAGGAACATGGTTAGGAGGGGCCGCCGCCCCCCCCCGGACACTTGGTAGCATGGGCACAGGCCCACACTTCAGACCCCCTGGCTCCAAAACCCGCCAGGCGGCCCGCTGTGCCCCTGCGCTGCCCTGGCCTCAGAGGTGCAGAGCCAGGTGCGGGAGGTGTGGTGAGCACACAACACAGCTGCATCTAAACACACTCCACACCTTACAACATCCTCCCACCACAGGCCATTCAGGCAATTTCAGAGGGTTCTAAACTGACGCTTGGTCTCTTATATAATAATTCTAATTAGAAAACATTTTTCTCCTCTGATCAGATCTACCACAACTAACCCAAAGTAGGGTTTTTCATTGTTTAAAACAAGAGATCCTGTGGATGAGGCTCAGTTCTGCAAAAGCCACCTGCATTTCACCAGGGAAGCCTCTGGAACAGCGCGAGAAGGGCTGCACCCAGCAGGTCAAGCATTCCGAGGGCACTCCCAGCTGCAGAATCCACCACAGTGACCAAGATTCAGGAGACAAATGACCCATAAAACCCCAGCAAGCCTTTCCAGAAGTCAATGAACAGAGGGCCTAGAATAGCCAAAACGATTTCAAGAAATGAGAACAATCAGAGGACTGACTACCCAACTCCAAAGCTCATCCAGGCTTCACTGCAAAGTGGCAGTGACGTGGGCATGGGCACACTGCCAGCCCCGCAGCCCGGGGAGTCCGGCTCAGCCACACGCATGCCGTCCGCAGATGTCCACAGGTGCAGAGGCAAGCCAGAGAGAAAGGACTGCCTCTTCCACAAGTGGAGCTGGAGCAACTGGTGATCCCTGTGCAAATTAAAATGCACTTTGGTCTATACTGCACACTATATACAAAACTAACTCAAAATAGAGGACAGTCCTAATTATGAAACTAAAACAAACTTCTAGAAGAACACCAAAAGAAGATCTCTGTGACCTGGGGTTAGGTGAAGATTTCTTAGAAATGGCAACAAAACATGGCCTATAGTGGAAAAAATGGATGAACTGGACTTCATCAAAACGTTCGAAACTCTGCTCTCAGAAGATACCCTTAAGACAATGAGAAGACAAGCCACAGAGTAGGAGACATGCCTGAGAAAGGACTTGTCTCTGAGATACACAAAGGAATCTTAAAACTCAGCAGTGAGAAAAAAATTCCATGTGAAAAGACGGGCAGAATATTTGAAGCAGCAATATTCAGAGAAAACACTGCATGCAGGCAAGCACACGGAGAGGCGGCTGCCATGGCGCCCTCAGGGAAGTGCCCACAAACACACGGAGAGGCGGCCGCCTTGGTGCCATCAGGGACGTGCCAACAGACAAGCACACGGAGAGGCGGCCGCGTGGGCGCCCCCAGGGAAGTGCCGACAAGTACAGGGAGAGGCGGCTGCCGTGGTGTCCCCAGGGAAGTGCGGACAGACACATGGAGAGGCGCGGCCATGGCGCCCCCAGGGAAGTGCTGACAAGTACACGGAGAGGGGCTGCCATGGCCCCTCAGGGAAGTGCCGACAAACACACAGAGAGGCGGCTGCGTGGGCGCCCTCAGGGAAGCGCGGACAGACACACGGAGAGGCGGCCGCCATGGCGTCCTCATGGAAGTGCGGACAGACAAGCACACGGGGAGGCGGCTGCCATGGCGCCCTCAGGGAAGTGCCCACAGACAAGCACACGGAGAGGAAGCAGCATTGCTGCCGTCAGAGAAGTGCCGATAGACAAACACATGGAGAGGCGCCGCCATGGCGCCCTCAGGGAAGTGCGGACAAGTACACGGAGAGGCGGCCGTGATGGCGCCCTCAGGGAAGTGCGGACAGACAAGCACAGGGAGAGGTGGTCGCCATGGCACCCTCAGGGAAGTGCGGAGGGAAACCACAGCGAGACCCTGCGCACCCTCCAGGGAGCACAGACAATCAAATAAACGAACTGCCAGCACCTCGAGCTGAGCAGCCGCCGGGTGGGGGGCGTCCTCATCCACAGCCGGCGGAGCAGCATGGCAGAGCCACTGTGGACAGCTTCTGTCACAGCCAAAGAAGGCCCAGCAGTCACGTTCCTGGGTCCTTGCTCAAGAGAAATGAAAACGGAGGCTCACACATAAATGCAAATGTTTACCACTGTTCTGCTCGTCATCAAACCCCAAACAATCCAATGCCCTTCAGTGGTTAGACCACAGTGCTGTGATGCGTGCGCACGTGGACGGCACCCCACCCCTGAGAACAAGCCCAGGATAGGCACCCCACGCGGTGGGTGCCGAGTGGCCAGGCTTGGAGCCAGACATGCAGGTGCCGCTGGGTGGTTCCCAAACCCCAAGGCGGATGCTGTGTTTAAACAGCACCTGAGGGTTCCCACACACTTTTCAGGCGTGTCCTGAAGACACAACAGACACCATCAGGAACCACACTGTGCCAGAGGAGAAGAAATCCCACTCAGAAACACACCGAGCGCTCGGGGTCCCACAGCTCAGACCCCCACGCCTCATGGGGTCCCAGGGAGGTGAGCGGAGGCCTCACGCTGTGGCCGGAGCGGGCTCTGGGGAGACAGAGCCCCAGGGCGGGGCCTGGACTGCTGAGGACAGCCAGGCAGGGCACATTCCAGAACCGCATGTCATAGGGTGCTGCTGTTCAGCGGCATCCCCCAGGGGGCGCTGGTGAGCCCGGCGAGCCGGAGAGGCCGTGAGCCACTCCATGGCTTGGGGGTGCACAGTGTTGGGGGCAGGTTTAGCCCCTTGACGCGCTCAGCCTGGACACCCGCACCATTCCCTGTGGTGCTGGAGGAGCCAGGCCACCCCAGGCAGCCCAGCAGTGCCTGGAACTGACAGTGCCCATTGGGCCCTGTGGGGGTGTTGACTCTCTAGGGCCCTTGGGGCCTCTCTGTCAGTCCCGGACCATCAAAGGCGCTCTCTCTTCTATTCACACCCTGCCCAAGCTGACATGCGGATGCCAGGCCTGACTGCCAGCTTGGTGACCAGTGCTGGGGCACGCAGCCCTTTCTGACTGCCTCGGAGCCAGGCACCACCAGCATGAGTCACTCGGCGGGGAGGGGGATGGCTGAGGGGGCTCCCCCATCAGAGGCGACATTCAGATCGGGACACCTGCTTTGCCTGTGCCCCGAGTGTCTTGGGGAAAGGGCGCCTGGGTCTCTGCTCCATGCTGGTGGGGAGCTCTCCCCAGGAAACCCAGGTGCCCCTGCCTGGGGCAGTCCTAAGAGTTCTAGAACAGTGGTGCCTGCGTCTTCCCCAGAGACACTTAGTCTGGTTGCCTGGCTCTCCCGACACAGAGTGGGCCTGTTCTCCAGATACCAGGGTGCTGGAGGAGCCTCCGAGTGCAGAGCTCGGCATCTTCATTGCCCATGTGCTCCCCAGCCCCGCGCCCTGCCCGGAAGCCGACCCAGCCGGGCGCTGCCACTGCTCACACACGATGCCCTGTGGGGCCTGGACTTATTTCCCAAGCTCTGAGTCCCCTGGCCTCTTGGCCTGGCTCCGTCTCTCAGGGGACACTGGGACCCGGCCTGGGGCCTCCGGGAGCTGGGCTCAAGTCAGGATAGCCCTCTGAGGACCGAGGCCTGTTCCTCCGGGGCGGATGTCACAGGCACTCCTGGCTCGGGACTATGCATCCAGCACCCTTGTGAATCAGGAATGCCCTCCCAGGGTGACCTCTCTGAGGCGCAGGGGCCAGCGGGTGGGGTGACAGCTTGCTGCTCGGGTTCCAGAGAAAGCTACCAGCTCCCCTGGGCTCTCTCGGCCTGCAGTTGCTGTGGCTGGAGTGCCCTGTCCAGAGGCTGCCGCAGGTGGGAAGCTGGGGGCTGTGGAGGGGAATCTCAGGGGAAACAGCCTCTCCCTGTACTTAGGCGAGTCCAACAGTGAGGGGCTGCGGCTCTCCTAGGGCACCAACCTCTGGGATCTTCCATTAGCTCCTGAGACCTGAGGAGGCTGAGAAGGAACCCCTAGCTGGTGGGTCCCGCGGGGGCAGTGGGGGCTTCTGGGGAGGCTCCTGCCTGGTAGGGACATGGCCTCAGGGGAGCCCTGTCTGGCATCGCCATCGTGCACGTCAGCTCCGAGTTCTCACTGCTCCAGGAGGGTCCAGTGGTCCTGGTCCTGCAGGACCCAGCCTGGGGGCCCCCTGCCTCCCCCAAGCCCCAGCAGGATACAGAGGACCTACAGCAAAGTTTCCTGGGGCCAGCTGTGGTTGGTGGCAAGCCCTCCAGGCCCTGCCCATTCTCCCCTGGCAGGTGACTCCACCAGTAGCTGAGCACCTGGGGGCAGGTGAGGTGATGTCTGGCCACTTGGGAGGGCTTCCCCCCTCATCTCTGGAAACCGGAGCCCTTCCTGCACCCCACTCAGCTTAGCCGATGGATGACAATGTCCACTGGGCCACGGCAGCTCAGGCCCTAGGGTGGGCTGAGAGCCGGGGCCCTCCCATTGCTGCACCAGCTCTAACCCCAGGCAGGACCACCATGAAGCCCCCACACAGCGGGTCGGTGGGGTGCCTGAGCTCCGGAGGTCTGGCTACTGAAGGTCCCACCCTACCTGAGGGGCCGCCTGTGATCCGCCCACTGTTTCCCTCTGAGTGGGACACCCTAAGATTCCTCCTAATTTTGCGTTGCCACCAGCCTTTTTGTTTTCCTGGGAAGGGGTGGGGGTGGAGCATGTGTGGTCACCGCCCTGTGGATGTCACCAGGAAGAGGTGGCCCTTGGTGGGACGTGGACTTGGGGCCCAGAGGGACCCCGGGCAGATGTGAGGGGCCCGACCTTCTCTAGGGGTCCTCAGGGGCTGGGCTGCCTCCATCTGCCCTAGTCTCTGCCCTGGCAGGGCTTGGGTCTGTGCACCTGAGGTCAGTTTCTGGCCGTTTGGAAGTCACCCTCTCACATGACCTGTGCTGCCTGGCCAGGCTCATGGGGCAAAGTGGACAGCCAAGGCCACACCCACCACTGGCCGAGCACCACACAGTGCGCTGGGGAGAGCAGAAGAGATAGGTGCTTGTCACCATGCAGTGTACTGGGGATTGCCGGTACTGCACCTGCAGGTCACAGGAGCCACAGGCCTTGACTGCGAGGCCACAGTGCCACAAGCTCATGAACCCTCAGTCACAGACGCACCCACGGTCAAGGGACACCCCTGCCAGGGGCTCCACTCTGCAGAAGCCACTGTCATCCTGCACTTCCAGGGGTGGCCACTAGAGGCTCCCCAAAGACAGAACTGGCCGGAGGGCTCCAGAGCTGCCAAGCACCAGCCCGGGACAGGGTGGCGCCCACAGTAATGGAGGGACAGGGTTGGGTGTGGGGAATGCAGCCCACCCTTCCCCGGGGCTGGGTACCACGGGGGAGGGGGAGGGGAGCAATGCTGCCCTGAGGCTCCTGGCCCTTCCAGGGGAACTGACAACTGCTTTTCTGAGATGGACAGACAGGAGGACATCACACACAGCGCTCTGAGGACCTCACCTGCCCTGTGGTGGCTGCCCTCCAAACACGCAGTGACCTGGATTCTCTCCAAACCTGGGTCTTGCTCCTGGGAGGTGGCTGGATCGGCTTCCGTACTGGGAACAGTCTGCAGACTTTAGGACAAAGTGTCCTGCCAGCTCTCCATGCTCGGGGTGACCACAGACCCCAGTGCTGGCTGGCCTGGGGGGTGTACCAGGCTCAGCAGTCCTCCCCATTCGGGGTGACCACAGACCCCAGGGAGCCTGGCCCTGCTGTTCTCAGGCCCCCAATGGCCCTGGTTTCCTCCTAACCTGCGTCCAGGTACCAGTCCCCCAAGCCAAGCCACCACCCAATCTCCGCCTAGGTGTCTGCAGGAAATATCAGTGCATTTACTTGGGAAAACACACCACACCCAGCACACAAGCGTGGGCCCTGGGGGAGGCTGGGGCTCCCAGCGAGCTGAGACCCCAGCCCAGCCCTCCTTCCTCTGCCTCATCAGCTGGGTGCCCCCACCTGGGCTAGCTGGACCCACAGGGGGCCCAGTGAGCAAGGCTGGCAGACCCTTGCCCAGAGGCTGGTGGTGTTTGGTGCAGGTGGGGAGGCAGCGGCTGAGCCTGACCCCAGGGGTCCCGAGGCACCCATGGCATGGGCCCCTCCCCAGGCTCGAGGAGGTGCCAGAAGATTCACTGTCCATGGCCCTACTGGGCCCCACTCCCACCGCTTGTGGTCCGATCCCGCTTGTGCACCTCATGCCTCCATTAATTAATATTTTGAAGCTGCCAGTGCGTGCTCTTTGCAGGAGGGAGTCATTGTCTGGGTTAACGGTAGTCTTCAACAAAAACCTGGCATATGGCTGCAAGAAATTTGTTTAAGATTTAACACATAGTAACATCAAAACAAACAAGCGCTGCCATGGCAACGAGGACTAAACAAAGGCTCGCAGATACCCCGAGCTGGCGCCACGCCGGTGGAGCCATGGCAACCTGCCCCGAAAACAGAAATCGGTGGACTTTTTCTCTGCAAGTCCTGTCAGAGTCAGCAGCTTTCTGCGGTACCTAAGGCCACTTCCTCGCGGTCCCCAGGCTCCTGAGGGAGGCAGAGGCTCCCACAAGTGACAGTGGGCATCCCCCTCTCCAAAATGCAAAACAAAAGCAAGCCAATACCCCTCAGGCCTGCTGCCCACCACCCCTTGCTTTTCCTGGAGATTAAAGGAAAATCTCTAGTGTCGCCAGCCCCTCCTGGTGGCCCTGCCCCCCTCTGTCTTCCTGAGACAAGTGTGTGAGTTTAGGCCCCTTGCTCCTGCACACCTGGGAGGTCAGGACCCCGTGCCAGGATCACAGGGATGCCCCCGAGGGGAGTCCAGGCCGCAGGAGGAAAGGACAGTTTGGGGGTAGGAGAGATGCGGAGGCAGTCCTGGGGGAAGCCCGGGGTCACAAGGGTCTGCGGCTGCAGGTGAATTGGGAGGCGGGGAGGTCAGAATCCCTCAGCCTCCCCTCAGGCCAGGGTCCCGGTCCTGGCCACCTGAGCTGCTGCCCACAGGACAATCTGCCACACGGCTCCCACCCACGGTGCCCAGCCAGCCGACCAGGCTGCCCAGGACTGGGTCTCAGCCTCAACCCCTCCCTGGGCTCGGGCCACAGCTGTCTGCTCCCCCAGACCTTGACCCTCATGGCCAGCCAAGGCTGGCACACCCCAAGGCTGGTCCCAGGTTCTGCACTGGGGAGGTGGCCGTGCTGGAGCAGGGGGCCAAGCTTTAGCCCCCAAGTGCCTGAGCAGCTCAAGCCCTGGCTCTGGGAACAGGCCCAGACCAGCTGGGGCTCCTCCGGCCTTCTGGGGCGCCAGCACCCCCACGAGCAGGCAGGGCTCCCATCATTCTCCAAATGAGCCACAGCTGCCAAGCCCCAGTCACCACAGGGAGAGCTCTGCATGTGTGTGCAGGTGTGTGCAGGCGTGTGTGTGCACGTGTGGCCATGTGCACGCACACATGTGCCATAGTTTGAAGGCCACTTTCTGCAGAAGGAATCATACCTGGCACCATACTTGGTGTGTCCGGGCAGTGCCAAGGCTGTGCGCATCGGGCTGGCCCTGCAGGGCTGATGGCCCCTGGAGAGGCTCTTCCCACCTCCCGCCCAGCCCTTCTAGGAGCTTCACCCACAAGCACTGTCTCCACACTGCTTTGCCCTGGGTCTGCTCCTGTGTATCCCAGAGCACACATTGGGCGGCACAGAGGGCACCCAGGGACTCGTCCCAGACGCGCCCACATGCCCAGGCCTGCTGAGGAGCAGCTGCCAGGGCCCAGGAGCACGGGGCTGGGATCCACGAAGGGGCTGGGTCCCCACCAAACAAGGACACCTGAGGGGGAGGAGGAGCACTGGGGGACACATGGGCCCTGGTGGCCAAGGGGAGGAGCCAGCCCTGCCAATGTCCACACAGGCTCCAGACACCATGGCCGCTCTGCGAACCCCACCTGCCGCTGTATGGGCTAAATATAGCCAACCCAGTTTCCCTCTCCTGGTCTGTGTGCCTGGGACACGTCCCTTGGCAAAGTGAATTCTGGGCTCAGGACAAGGGCACTATCTGTGCCAGAGGCTCTGGCCCCCGGCCTCCTGGGCACAGCGCAGGTCAGTGCCGCCTGCCCATGGCTGTTGACCCACCAGAGCGGCCCTGGTCACCAGGACCTGCCAGCAGCTGGCTGGGGGTGTCTACACAAGCCTACACTGCATAGCCCGCTGCTGCAGGAGGCTGCAGGTTTCCAGCAGGGATGGCGGCCGGTCTGTCTTCCAGGCAGCAGCTGGCACGACAAGCCCTGTGGGTGATATGGGAGCCCCAGCAAGCCTGTGGGAGCTGCCTCTCGCCAAAGAGCCCACAAGTGGGGTCTGGACCTCTGAGTCAGGTGCCAGTCGCCTCAGCCATAGTACCATTGGGGGTGCGGCCCCGAGAGTCAGTCCACGAAGGATCTGTGGCCGGGGGTGCAGCGTGTGGGGTGCAGCGTGTGGGGTGCAGCGTGTGGGGTGCAGCGTGTGGGGTGCAGTATGGCCAGGGGTGCAGCGTGTGGGGTGCAGTGTGGCCAGGGGTGCAGCGTGTGGGGTGCAGCACAGGCAGGTGTAGTGTGGCCAGGGGTGCAGTGTGGCCAGGGGTGCAGCGTGTGGGGTGTAGTGTGGCCGGGGGTGCAGCGTGTGGGGTGCAGTGTGGCCAGGGGTGCAGTATGGCCAGGGGTGCAGCACAGGCAGGTGTAGTGTGGCCAGGGGTGCAGTGTGGCCAGGGGTGCAGCACAGGCAGGTGTAGTGTGGCCAGGGGTGCAGTGTGGGGGGTGCAGGCTGTCAGACGGACCCTCGCAGGCCAAGCCCCAGCCCTTGTCGGGGCCCTTCTGGTCCCCTTGCCCTGGCAGGCTCTTTGTGCCTTCCTGGTCTCCAGAGGCCCCAGGGATGAGTGATCCTGGGTTAGTATGGGCTCCAACCACCAAGGTGTTGGCAAATGATGGCCCTGTCCAAGGCTGGGGAGCGCAAGGCTACGTGACTACCTGCCCAGAGGGGCCAGCCACAGTCTCCTCTCACACCAGCCGATGGCTAAGCCCATGAGGACGCTGAGGCTGGGAAGCCACAAAGGAGGTTGGCAGGGGCCACTGGGTCTGGGCAGGGTCAAGGGTGAGACCAGCTTGCACCCGGGTCCCCGGATGGACCCTCCCCTCCAGTTTCTCTAGGACTGAGGCTGCGAGCTGTCAGGACGACGAACAGGACTTGCTGGCCCTGGTTGCCCCTGCCATCCCCTAGAGCTGGGGGAGCCTGCAAGGCAGTCAGCTGGAGAGAAGATCCGGGTTCAGGCATCCTTTTGAGTGGTTTCATGGCTTTTCTGGCATAACTTTCTAAACTCAAAATGCCCTCAGATGCACTCAGATGTGCCGTACACAACAGGAAGCTCACCAGGACATGCACAGTCCGGGAACACGCACGACCCAGGAGACACCCAAGACCTAGGGGACATGCATGACCCGGGAGACACATGTGACATCGCCACAGACCACAGCAGAGACAGCACAGCTGCAAAGGCCACGGTGCCCATCCAGAGCTGGTAGACGGGTGCTGACACCGCAGAGGTGGGCCCCAAAGCCTTCAGCATGGGGGCATCTGACCCACGGCCCAGCCCCTTGCAAAGCCAAGGCGCCGAGGGGGAAGGCAGCAGGAGCTCTGAGATGAAAGAGTAATGAGGTTGTGGCAACGCAGGAATCTGGCCGCAAGTGGACGCGGGTGCAAACCGCCAAAATAAAGCCATTTCTACACAGATGGACAGGACAGGGCTGGACACGGGGCTGGGGGAGAACCACTGCTTTTCTCAGGCGCGATCATGGTGGGGTGTCGGGACATGAGGTGAAATGTGCCGGGGTGGGTGAGGGTGCCTCAGTGTGCTTCCCGGCAATCATCCAGGAGAAAACAGGCAACGTGTGACACAGCAACAGGTGTGTGCACACATGACACAGAAATGCACGTGCATATGTGCACACACGATGCAGAAACATGCACACACGTGCACACACGATGCAGAAACGCAAGCACACGTTCACACACGACGCAGTAACGCACGGGCACACGTGCACACACGACAAAGAAACACATGCACACCTGCACACACGACGCAGAAACACACACACGTGCACACAGGACGCAGAAACGCACGTGCACACACGACAGAAACGCACGCACACGTGCACATATGACACAGAAACACTTGCACATGTGCACATACGACACAGAAACACGTGCACACATGCACACACGACGCAGTAACGCACGGGCACACGTGCACACACAACACAGAAACACGCAGACGTGCACACACGATGCAGAAACACACACGTGCACACAGGATGCAGAAACGCACGAGCACACACGACGCAGAAATGCGCGCACACGTGAACATACGACAGGAACACTTACACATGTGCACACATGACACAGAAACACCTGCACACGTGCACACAGGACGCAGAAACACGTGCACACACGACACAGAAACGCACACCCACACATGCACACACGACGCAGAAACGCGCACACATGCACACACAACGCAGACAAAGCAAACGGCATGATGCTGTTTTGCAGTGATGGCCAGAGCCGCATCCTTGGTGCCCTTTGCTGTTTCGGCACCTGTGGGCATCCCGGGGCAGAAGTGGAGCAGCACAAAGGCTTTGGGAGGGGCTAGGGGACACCTGAATGGCCAGCTCCATGCATGGGGACACAAGCATCCAACCTCTGAGACTCAGCCCCTGAGTCAACCCACGGAGGGTCAGGAACTCTGCCTGCCAGCAGCCAACTGCCTCTCCAGGCTTCAGGCAGGCACTGTCCCCACTCCTGGGGAGGCCCAGTGATCCCAGCCACAGCTCCCTGACTCTGGAGAGCAACATTCACCCTGAGTCTGCTCCGAGGCCAGACACCCCCTCATAGGCCACCTCCCATGCCAAGACCCCGCACGACCATGGGGCCAGGAGGAGCCAGGGCTGCCGCTCAGGACTCGGAACCGAGAGGTCCTGGAATGCCCGGACCCCTGCTTCCCGCAGGCCCAGATGGCACATTCAGACTCCCACGTCTGGGCTGCTTCTGAGAAGGGCAGGGTCTTGAAGCACAACCCCCTCGACTCCCCATGGCCCACTCCCCACAGAACCCACCCGGGGGCTCAGGGTCACAGACCCCCATGAGCCAGGTCCCTCGGCCCGTGAGCCCAGCGCACTCACTTGATCTTGCTGAAGACGATGTCCACGTCGGTGACCGTCACGTTCCTACCGTCGATCACCTGGCAGTCCTTGCACAGCTTCGACCAGTTCTTGCCATGCATCTCCCTCCCCGTGGCCCTGGTGTCCCCGTGCACCGCAAAGCGCCGGAAGGCCTCCTCCAGGGCACTGAGCTCGGGGGCCGCTGCTGCACCCTCACCGGCACCCTCCGACTCCAGCGACAGCCTCTTGGCCGCCCGGTCCTTCGAGGGGTCCCCCGGGGACTTGGGGGGCGTCCTGTTGGCAGCTTTGGCGGGCTTCGCCTTGTCAGCCATGTTGCTGTGGAGGAAGGAGAGGAGAAAGGTGTCACCCGGGCCATGTCCCAGCTGACTTGGGCGCAGCCCAGGAGACCCACCATACCAACGAGCACCAGGATGTGGCTGAGACGGGCAGGCCCTCCCGGGGTGACGTGGCAAGGGCTGAGATGGGCAGGCCCTCCCGGGGCGACGTGGCAAGGGCTGAGATGGGCAGGCCCTCCCGGGGCTGGGCGTGAGGCCCCTCAGACCCTCAGAGCCAGCTGCCCTGGAGGCACGCGTGTCCAGCTGCCAGGCAGAGTGGAGCCAAGCAAGGCCTTGCCCACTTGCCGTCATTGGGCCAAGGACCCCCTAAGTCAGAGAAAGCCAGCAGCTTTAGGGTGGGAGCTGAGCTGGGTGCCAGGGGCTCCAGGCCGAGCAGGCTCAGGGTGTGACTGGCAGCATCACAGCCCATCCCGGGTCCTCCCCACCGCCACACTTTTCCACTGCCCCTCCTGTGGACGCTCGCTCTGCAGCTCTGGGGGACACCTGAGGACCACACCCTCCCCAGGGTCTGTGAGGGGACGCCTTCCTCCGGGAGGGTCCACAGCGGTCCTGCGACAGCCGCTCCCACCCCAGTGCAGAGCCTCTGACCATAGATGGAGCTTTGGGTTGGGGGGGGTGTGTGTGGTGGCCCTGGGGGCACCTGAGGATGCTCTGCCCAGGTGCCCTGGGCCTGCCGAGCCCACGGTGCCCCAGCCAGGGGAGGGGACTGCGGGTGTGCAGGGTTGAGGCAGTGGTGGGGTCATGGGCATCGGGGCGCAGGGACGCCCTCTGGACTTTGCAAGGCGCCCACCCCCAGAGCAGGCGGCTGGGCCGTGGGGTTGAGAAGACTGAGGGGTGCCGCGCAGGGAGGGTTTGCGGACGCAGGGCTATGCCACAGGGCGGGGCTGCCGAGGCCACCTCCCCACCACGCATGGTGAGACCCAGTCAGGTCCTGAAGGACTCAGAGTGAGGTGCTGGCCTCCACACGACAGTCGCTTCCCCAAGGGGCCTGGACGCCAGGTCAGCCCTCAGCACTGCACTGAGAGCTGAACCTCTCCTCGGCCCACAGACACAAGACCCCGTGGGAGGGTCGGTGCCGAGGACACAGGTGCATGTCCCAACCCTGGGACTCACCGAGCCCTCTCAGATCTGGAGTTCTCAGCACTAGTCATGGCCAAAGTGTGGCTCTGTCATCCTGGGGGTCCTGAGTGTGGCCCCTGCTGACCTTGAGATCCCACAAATTCCCCCAAAAAAATCCAGGGGTGCTGCCTACACTGAGGACCTTAAGGGCCTCAGGCCCCTCCCATTCACCCCTTTCCTGGAAGGCACCGAAAATGCAGATGCCAACCCAGCGGAGGACGCAGGGGCAGGACCCAGTTGGGCAGGACCACGTGGGGGCAGGATCCCGTGGGGCGGCCCGCGTGGGGCAGGACCCGGTGGGGCGGGGCCGCGTGGGGGCAGGATCCCCTCCGCGGGGCGGGCCGCGTGGGTCCAGGATCCTGGGGGTAGAGGGCCTGGGTCAGGTGTCCCCAGCCAGGACAGTCTCCCGTTTATCGACGACACGATTTCTTGTCTGAAACAGGAGCTCTCACAGGCCGTGCTGTGTTTCCCAACAAAGAACTGCTTGCAGCCGGGAACTGGGCAGGAGGAGCGGTTGAAATTGCCCCGCAAAGCCAATGGTGGGTTTTGTGAGCGCCAGAACCAGTGGTGGGCGTGCGGTCAGAGGAAAGAACCTCCTGTGATGCTTCAAACTCAGGGCTGTCGTTCTCGTGTCTTTCTCCTGTGGGGATGCGCCTGAACAACACCCTTATTCACCCACCTCTCGTGAGTCTCTGAGAACCTGCCCCCGTTGGACCCGCCTGGGAGCAAAGGATGAGGGAGCCCCTCGGAGCCGCCTTCGGGCTCACGCAGGACGTCCCACCCTCAGCGCGTGGCTTTGCACGAGTTTTAATACGCTTGACAGTTGGCCTTTGGAAGGCTAGCGGCGACATAAGCGTCCTGCCCTCGTGAGGCCTTCAGTTGGGCAGGTGATAAAAGAATAAACAGAATGGAACATCAGGTTCAGCGAGGAGTGCGAGGAGCCTGAGCAGGTGGAGGGAGGCCAGAGGCATTTCAGACCCGGGGAAGAGGACGCGCGTGAGCAGAGATGCGGGCAGGCGGAGTCACGTGCGTGAGGACGGGCCCAGCAGGGCCCCTGCGCCAAGGTACCCCTGCACCCCTGCGGGCAGCAGCACCACCTTCACTTGGCTCAGCCCCCCTCCAGCACAGCAACTAGCATGAGATGCACGAACGCGAGCACTGTGGGTCCGCGGGCAGGGCAGAAAGGAAACAGGGGTCAGGCCATCGCGCATATTCACTGGGCAGGCCACTGGCTCAAAACGTTCGAGAAATACTGCTCTCCGCCGGGCTTGGATACCCTCGTCCACTGTCCCCACTCAGGCTGAGGGGAGGGAGGCCACCTGCAGTGGGTGTGAGCTCAGAGACGTGGCCACACCCCCTGCGGAGGTGCTTCGTATTGGGCTTCCCAGGAAGACGAGGGTGACAGCCGTCAACAGCCAAGAAGAAGGAGTAGATGCAGGAACCCACGGCCGTCACGGGAGTGAGGCCACGGGCGCTTGGGAGGGCCGAGGACCAGGCCCAGGCGGTTTTGGAGGGAAAAGCGGAATCCGTCCCAACTCAGCCCCAGCCTTTCTGCACCAAGGCGTGGAGCGGTGCCGACCTCAGAAGCCGGCTGCCACAAATGCTTCCAGAGCCGGCTCTGCGTGGGGTGCACGCTCAGGGATCTCACACGGGGACTCGCCCTCCAGAGCCCATCTGAGCTTCGCTGTTCTAGGTTCTTGTAGTTTTGTTTTACCTCAAACAGGCATTAGCTTAGCAAACTATTTTTTAAAAGGTTTTTAAATTAAAATAGAATGAATCAGGCACGACGTGCTGCTGTGGAAGACAGCCAGGCTGCTGCTGGGTCTGGAGGAGAAGGACGCGGCTGCCAACCCCGAGCGGCAGCAGAGGAGACGGGAGTCGCACTGTCTGGATCGCTTCACGAGACCCATGTGCTGTTTCCACAATGACGGTAATAGAATACATTTAATTTAAGAGAACGTGGAGGTGTCAGAGGGACGATGAGCCTGGGCGGGCACCTCTCCCTTGGCGCTCACCACCAAGTGTAGTATGCAGCTGTGCCAGCTGCTTCTCCTTGGATGGGCGGAGGCCAGGCGTCCTCCACTTTCCCACAGTTTCTGGACGCAGCGCACCTGAGCCCTGGGTGCAGACCCTCACACCGTTTCCCCCGAGGCTCTGCTCTGTCACCGTGAGGGAAAAGAAGGTTGTGTAGCAGAAGAGACTCCAGGAAGACATGTGCCCACCATCCCACATGTGCCCTGAGCCCCAAGGGGGTCACCCTGTACTCCCAGGCCTGTGCCCACCATCCCAGCTGTGCCCTGCACTCCCAGGCCTGTGGCTTGCATCCAGGTGTGCACCTGCACCCTCTCCCGCTGGCTGGTGCCTCCCTGGTAGGAGGGACGTGCCCAGCCCTGCCCTGACCCAGGTTCCTGCTCACAGCACATGCCCCTTCCCTGGCTAGACCCCACGGGAGCCCAAGTGGGGCCCGGCCAGGACCTGCTTGGAGGCTGAGCCCACCACACTCACGCCCCCACCCCCAGGGCCTCCCCAGGGAGTCAGGAGGATGGCGCCTATGGGCTCACCCACGGGTGGGCCGCACATTGTTGTACAACTGGCATTTTCAAAACAGGCTTGGAGAGGGCAGAAGACAAGGGCAGAGGTGGTACCACAGACCTCAGAACGGGGCAGGCAGAGGCAGACCCCAGAGGACGACTGTCCTGGGGAACAAAGCATCCCCGCTGGCCAGGAAACGCCTGCCCCAGGTGCGTCGCCAGCTCCAAGGACTTGGCCGCCCAGGCGGGGCTTCGTCCCAGACACCCCAGGCCACCTTGCCCCCAACCCCATGGGCTGTCCCTGTTCCCAACAGGCCCCACGGAAAATCAACTGGGCCCAATTTGTCAGAATGAATCTCCTGGGAAATACCTTAAGACTGGATGCTGGACTGCCTGAAGCCAAACTTACAGAAAAGCTGACAGAACAGAAGTGACAAGGCTGGAGAAACAGCAGCCGGCCTCTGATCACAGAGCTGTCCAGGGGCTGGAAACCCGGGTGCCCACGTGGCATCAGTAAGCAGGGCCAGGGGCAGTCACTAGGACCGACCACGGCTCTGTCACTAGGAACAGGGGTCTCTCACTAGGACCTGGGGTCTGTCAGTCACCAGAGCCGGGGCCTATCCCTTGGGTCTGCAGCCTGTGGCTAGGACCTAGGGTCTGTCACTAGCGCCAGGGGTCTGTCCCTTGGGCCTGGAGTCTGTTACTAGGGTCTGGGGTGTGTCACTAGGGCCTGGGGTGTGTCACTAGGGCCAGCTGCTGTTTTAAAGGTAGCAGCAGCCTCGGTGCTCCCTTGTTCACTGCCCACGCCCACGAGGGGGTGGCGCCGACAGAGCCCACATGACCACTCTCCACGTGGATGGCTGTGGGGTGGCTGAGCCTTGCTGGCAGAGGAGGCTGGTGGACAGGCCGTGCTCACATCAACAGGAGTGCCGGGTCAGAAGTTGAGGCAGGAGCCACAGAGCCAGTGGGAGCCACCACCCCTCTCAGCTCATCACCCCTCCCTGGGGCCTGAGACCCCAGAGTCAGCCCTCGGCCCTGCTCAGGCTCTGGCCTCCCTGGGAACCTCTGTCCTGGTCGCAGGTGTCCTGCAGGCCCCTTGGGTTGTGCTGGGCTGGACCAGGCCGGGGGTGACCTCTGAAGCTCCACCTGCCTTGGAGAAGCCACCAGCAGCTTCTCCAGCTGCACCCACTGACCCAAAACAAAGCTGGCAGTTTCTGAGTCTGTGCACTTCCCTCTGCAGCGGAAGATGCAGGATGATCAGCCGCTCAAGCCCAGCGTCCCCAGGGCACACTCGAGAGCACACCCCACCCAGAGGCCAGGCAGGCGCACA